CCTGAGGGAAGAGACCTGATGGGGCTGGTGTGTGAGCAATGACCACCCTGGCCTACTGCCTTCCGAGTACCGGTGCCTGCTCAGGAATGACGACAGATCAGCAAGTCCTGTCCTGTCTCCGGGTCTTGCTGTCCTGATAAATACGGTGGACAGGGACAGCTGGTGTAGACATTCTGTCATTGTGTGACCATGTGCATCCCCAGTCATGACACTAAGGCAGGTGCTCCGTGTGTGTTCTTGTAGGTACTTCAGTGTGTGCAGGAGCAGGTGTGTAGAGGTCAGTGTGTGCAGGAGCAGGCACAGACAGCGTCGGTGTGTAGAGAGGTCAGTGTGTGCAGGAGCAGGCACAGACAGCGTCGGTGTGTAGAGAGGTCAGTGTGTGCAGGAGCAGGCACACACAGCGCCGGTGTGTAGAGGCCAGAGGATACCCTCAGGGATGGTACCTTTCATCACTTGTTTCAGACAGGACTCTTCAATGGCTGGGAACTTTGCCATGTAGCCCAGGCTAGCTGGCCCTCAAACTCCCAGAGACCCCCCCCCCGCCATCTGTGTCCCACCTCATCATAACTGGAATTACAGGTCCTCTGTGTTATTGTGACTTTGAGTCAGGCTGACCTCCGGCTCACTAGTAGCCAAGGATGACCTTGAGCTTCTGATTGGCCTGCTGAGTACTGGGGTTATAGGCACACACCACCATTCAGTTCATGGGGTGGATGGATGGATGGATGGATGGATGGATGGATGGATGGATGAACTCAGAGCTTTGTGTGTTCCAGGCAAGCGCTCTACCCACTGCTACTCCCTCCCTCAGCCTCAACTTCCTTTTTCAGTGTTAGACTTTCAGCCGATGTCTTTGCACCTAGTAGTCAAGCCTTCTACAACTGGGCTATATGTCTGCCCACCCCTTGCAGGCTTTGCTCCACCTTTCTCCAAGGAACTGGGCTGGAAGGAGGGGCTTGTTTTCTTGTTCAGTGGAGAGGATGTTCCCAGGAGCCTCAGCTGTGCTGTCTCAGAGAGACATGAACTATGGATGATGTTTAGGCAGAGGAAGAGCCTGGAACAGCAGGCTGTGGAGCCGCGGAAAAGTTTGAGCAACAATGTGCACACACAAACACACACACACACACACACACACACTCTTCTGTGGTTCTGTGGGGAATGATGGGGCTGGGCCTGACCCAGCAGAGCAGAGCCAGAGCTGCAGGCACAGAACAAGCCTGAACTCCAAGAAACTGAGGGGATGGAGTGGAGAAGGGAGACAGGAAGTGGGGACCCATTGGCTGAAGGAGTAGAAGAGAGGTGATGAAGAGCCTACTGCATCCCTCTCTACCTTAAGACTTGTGGTGAGACTCGCCGGCTCCTAGTTCCTAACCCTCCCATCACATCCCCACACGGAGCCAGGATGCCCTGAGTTTGGGATGTCAGCAATCCATAGGGTACAGGGTCATGGGCTAATTTAGAGCATAGATCTAGAAGGGACCTGCTGAAAGTCTGTGCTTCTTTAATATGTGTGAGCACCTGCATGTATATCTGTGCATCACACACAGGACTTGTGCCCACAGAGACCAGTAGAGGGCGCTGCATCCCCTGGACCTGAAGTTACAGGTAGTTGTAGGCCACCATGTGGGTGCTGGGAGTTGAACCAGGTCCTCTGCAAGAGTACCCAATGCTCTTATTAACCACTGAGTCATCTCTCCAGCCCTGAGCTGGAGCTTTTATTGTAGTGGGTGCTTTTGTTTGTTTTCTCTTTTGAGCCGTCGGGGCTGGCCTCAAAGGTTTCTTTCTAGTTCTAGGGGTTAAACACGGGGCCTCAAGCATGCAAGGCGAATGCTTCTACTCCTTCCCCCAGTACAGCCCCAGCTGAGCCTCTGTGTAGCTGAGGACAGCCCTGAACTCCTGATCCTGCTTCTGCCTCCCAACTGCTGCGATTTCAGGTATTCCCTACCACACACAGCCAGGTCTGGGTTTTTTCTACCCCTGCAGCCCCTTTGGTGCAGGTAGGGCCATGAGTACCCCTAAGTAATTCTGATAGAGATAAAACAAGGGAGAGAGGCTTCCTGGGAAAGGGAGTTCTGGGTAAAGTTACTTGCATACAAGCCTGGTGCCCTGAGTTCAATCCCAAGAACCGACAAAGATGGGAGGAGAGAATTAATTCAAGTTGTCCTGTGACTTCCGTGCTTACACACACGCACGCACGCACGCGCGCACACACACACACACACACACACACACACACACACACGAGGGGAGAGAAAGTCCTTTTACAAAGCAAAGAGAGTTCACCCCCCCCCCCATAATCTTCCCAGGGAAAGGGAACTTTCAGTCTGGGGCCGTTTGCTAGGGCCGGGTCACCCGAGGCTAGAGCTATCCTCAGATCTGGGAATCCTCAAGAAGCAGATGGGTCCGACTTGGGTGAGCCCAGCTCCCTTGTCCCACATCCTCGTCTGCCACCTGCTTTGTGCAGTCTCCAGAACCTTCTTGGGAGCTTCACGAAGCTTGGAAGGTTTCACAGGGCGTAACTGCCAAGCTGGAGCTCAGCCCAGCCTCCTCTGCACAGAGCATGAGGCAGAGCCGGAGAACACTTCCTTTGCTGCCTCCCCTGCAGGCGGCTCTCCAAAAGGTGGCCAGGCTGTTTCTATTGCGAGCTTCCCAGCCCGCCCAGGACTCAGAGTCTCTTCCGGAACCACCGGTCATGGGTGTGTGGCTGATCCCATCCGTTCACCTGCCCCTGCCTCTCTGCCTCTCAGGAACCCCAAATTTGACTTCTCAGCTCACTGCTGACTCCACACCTCTGACTCCACAGCTCAGAAATACCCGTCTTTCAGTTATTTCCAGGCCATTCTAAGTTGGCCACACTGGACAGCAAGCTGCAAATCGGCTTCCCCACACCCTGTAGGCCTCAGTGATTCTTCTGCACTCCCAACAACTCATTTATTTTTAATACAGGTTTACTGTGAATAACTCTGAATGCCCTAGAACGCACTCCGTAGACCAGCCTGGCCTTGAACTCACAGAGATCCACTTGCCTCTGTCTTCTGAGTGTTGGGATTAAAGGTGTGCACCACCACCCCTGGCTTTCTCTTAGGTTGAACACTTGTGACCCTTAATAGGGAGTTCAGGCTTGAGTCCAGGCCAGAGTCCTGATCACTTTTGTGTATCACCATTCGTGGGACCACCACCAAGAACCACACACAAAAGTGACTAGGAGACTAATCTCACTGAGACACTTAAGCCCAGTAGTCTCATCCCCTTGTAGCATAGGTACCAGTCACAACCATGTGTTATCGGATCCCCCCCACCCAACACAGACACACCCTCCAGCCTTTCAGCCTAATCCTAGTAACTATGCTCACCCAGCATCCAGGAAGCCTTGGCTCCATCCCCAGCACCCATTAACCAGATGTGTGGTATACACCTGTAATCCCATCACCCAGGAGGTGGAGGCAGAAGGATCAGAAGTGTGAGATTCTTCAAGATGTAGTTCAACGTCAAGGCAGGCTGTGTGAGGCCTTGTCTCTACAGAAAGCTTTTAGGACAGGATCGAGTCATAAGGGCCTGAAGGCATCAGTAGATTGCTCCGTTAATGGGTTCATAATATGACGTAGGGGTAGGAGTGGGAGACATAGCTTATAGAACCTGGGGAGGAAGTGAGTAGCTGGGGATGTGTGGTTTTGATCTTATGCCTGGCCTCTTCCTCTGTGGGGTGTGTGTGTGTGTGCATGCCATGGTCAGTGTGTCGCTGCTTGGGTACCATGAGGTAAGCAGCCTTACCTGTCGTGTATTCTTGGAGCCAAGAAATTCTAAGCACAGGCCTATAGCTATGATGCCAAGCACCATGGGCTGAAGTCTTGGAAACTGAGCCAAAAGGAAGCCTCTTAAATCTTCAAGTTGATTTGCTTAGATTTTGTGTAGATCCACTATCTCAGAGTCATGGAGACTTATAGGATTCCAGCTGGGGATGTAGGTCAGCTGTAGAGCACCTGTCCTGAATCCCCCAGTGAGGTGCTGGGGCGTGGCTCAGGGGTAGAGCCCCTGCCTAGAATCCCCCATGGCTCAGTGACTAGAGGACTTGTCTAGCATGAAGCTCTAGATGTGGTCACCGGGGAGAACAATCACCCTCCACTCATAGATTCCGAGACAGCTGAAGCTTAAAAGGCTCAGTCTAGACTACTGAGGGGTCCATCTGCCTTTCTTCTCCTCACACGCCCCATGAGCATCTGCCTGTCTCCCATGCCCCACACCGAGGGAAGCCCCAGGCTTTCTGGCCCCCTCTTCCTTGCAAGCCGTGCCCACCACTGTTCCCTGCTATCAGGGCAGGCCCAGGGTGCCCTGGGTCATTCCTCCCAATCTCTGTGTCTGTTCTCTCTCTCTCTCTCCAGAAGTCGCCTTGGCCTGGTGACTCTAGGGCTGTCAGAATGAGACAAGAATGAAAGTTTAGTACAAGGAGTGGGTGTGCAAGGAGCGGGTGTGCAGCTCAGGGGTAGACAATGCTTGGAGCCGGGCCCCAGGTCCATGCCCAACACCAAATTATAATACAGAGTACCTCAAGAGGTCCTCTCTCTCACACACACAAACATACATCCAACCACACACGCTCACACACACACTCACACACACACACACACACACACACACACACACACACACCACATGAAAGCACACAGCCTCCCAGGCATTTTACTACTCCCGCCTTGGCCTCGTGGGGAGCAGGGAGAGAGACCACTGAACAGTCCTGGACACCCCTCCACCCCTCAACCTCCCTGCCCTGGGGGAGGGTCAAGTGTGACCATATTCAGTATTTACCCCCTAGATCCAGGGCTGTCTGTGTGCCTCCATAACACCCACCCTGTTACTTTTCCGACCCACCTCCCGCCCTGCAACTGCAGCGCTCAGTTTGATCACAGTAGCCATGTTTGGTTGATGTTGGTTTTGTTTAAGGGCTTGGCTGGAGGGTGAGGTGGAGGAGGCAGACTGGGGTGGGGGGTTGGGGGGCTGCACTTTCATTTGTCTTCTGACAAATCACGCCTCTTCCAGCTTTCAAGAATGTACTTGAGGAGGAGACCGAGCTTCCTGCGAGTGGACAGCGGGGCGTCTTCGCTGGTTCCCTCCACGGCCACCCGTTTTTCCACACCGCAGTCACCAGACGCCTCCAAGCTCACCTCAGCCTGGGGCTCATCTTCCTCCAGGGCCTTGATGCGGACGCGTTGGGCGTCCTCAGCCATCTCATTGAGACAGCCCTGGAGCATGGTGTAGACCGTGCCGAAGCTGATGCCCCCGGCCACCAGCGTTCCGAACACAGGGATGCCCCGCTCGAAGGCACGGGCCACCCGCATGGCACCATCCGAGGACTGCGAGTACAGTCGCAGGACAGTTTCTGGTGAGACCTCATTGGCCAGAGGGGAGCGGATAACGGAGCGAAGGTCCCCTGCCTGCTTGCCCACCTGCTCGGCCAGTTTGGCCAACGAGTCGTCGTCTAGGCCGAAGCTGCGGTGGTAGCCACGCAGAGAGCGGATGAGCAGGGCGTCGTCGTAGGCGGCTGCCAGTCCAGGGACAGGCAGGGCCTGGATGACCCCGGACACCAGGGCTGTCTTAAGCACCTGCTCTTGTAGCATGTCCTTCTTCCTTTGCAGAGCCTCCAGCGAGATGTCAGGCAGGGAGAGCAGGCCAGCGTGGCGACGGTGGGCGGGCAGGTCATGCTCCCAGGTGGACATGAGCATCGGGAAGTCATAGCGTGTTGGCGACAGGTTGGACACCAGGAAGATGCGTGGGTCATTTAGGCCGGCTGCCCGCAGCCGCTCCGCGCAGTGATCCCGGATCTCCTGGAGGACAGTGGCCTCGCTGAAGCCCGAGGGCCGCTGGCTGCGGGTGGCCGCCAGATCCTCGTCCACCTTGGTGCGCACGAAGTAGAACTTCTTCCCCTGGCGCAGGATCTCCGAGGCCAGGCGGGTCTCCACGGCGCCGCAGCGGCGCGGGGAGACGAGCAAGAAGAAGTCATAGCGACCGAAATCCACCTGCTTCAGGTACTTGTCTGCTGAGCAGCCTGGAGAGCCGGCCCCCGGCAGGTCCCACAGGGTCACGTCGGGAAACTGTGGGTGCGGGTAAGGCGAAGGCTGCATGGTGGTCTCCACGACCCCTGTGAGAGCTGCGCCAGGATCCTCGGCCCCCAGGCCACGCAGGGCATTGATGAGGGAGGACTTGCCGGCTCCCGACTCGCCGGTGACGCCCACCTCCAGCCGGGTACTCTCTGAGTTGGCCAGCAGCTCCCGGAGGCGAGAGGCGGCTTGAGGGATGTCGCCAGACTCAAAGGCGGTGCGCAGGGCCTCCAGCTCTTCTTTGGCCATGAGGATGGTAGTCTCGTCCTCAGGCACTCCGGGCAACTTGGAAGCTGCCATGGTTCAGAGCTGGACAGGAAGATGGGGGATAGTCACGGGACGTGTGACCTCTCAGCGTCTGCAGAGGAAAGGGGGAGACGTTCATATGACAGAGGGGGAGGTGAAAGGACTCTCTTTAGAGTATCTTTCCCACCGGCTTTCTCTTCCTCAAGAACTGGGGGTACTTTAGCTCTCACCTGCAATTCAGCACTGAGGAGGGTGAGGCAGGAGGATCAGCATGAGTTCCAGGACAGCTTGGGCTATACTGTCTCAAAACAACAATGCCCGGGTGTAATGACACTCGCTTCTAGTTCTGATAGCGGGAGGCTGAGGCAGACAGATCTACATGAGTTCAAGGCCAGCCTGATCTACACAGAGAGTTCCAGGCTGGCCAGGGTTTCATAGTGAAACTCTGTCTCAAAAAACTATAACAACAATCCAGTTCTAGTTCCTCACACCTGTATTCCTGCTACTTGGGAACTGGAGGTAGAGGAGCATTTGAAGGGCACCCTCAGCTGTACAGGGAGGATTCAAGACTAACCCTGTCTCAAAATAAGAATCCAGATCTATTTAACATGAGTTAAAGGATTTGGGGCCACTGGCTTGCCGTGTGACCTGGGACAAAACGGGCACCACGCTGGGCCTGTTTGTCGCTACGGTCAGTTGGCATAATAACCAAGCAGCCTACCGAGACACTGTCGGGTCTGAGTAACCTAGGAAGGACTCAACTTTGTGAGGGACGCTTTGTGCCCAGAGCAAGGCTGGGTGGCCTGCTGAGACCAAAACCTTACAATATCTGGGTTGAGACGGTATCACTATATAGCTCAGGCTGGCCCAAAACTCACTGTGTAGCCCAGGCTGCCCTGTAGTCACAGCAGTTCTCCTGAGTGCTGGCATTACAGGTATGAGCTACGATGCCCAACTGACGCTTCCGAATATTTGAACCAAAGCTGCCCGGTCTTACTGTGGCCAGGCCTCCCATCCTGGGCAGCAGGACCTGCCTGTGGCTCTGGCCAAGCTGGAGAGTCACTACTTTTCAACTGCTGTGGACACCAGGAGCCAGTAAGAGGTGGCTCTGCCACATACTGGCCCAGCACTGCCTTGCTTTCCTCATCTGTGAGATGTGGCTGTGACCATCCTCACCACAACGTCTCCTAAGAGTGGGAGACTCCCGTGAACTATGACATTCCTGAAACAATGGCAGACACACAGCAGGCACTATTAGCCACCAGTGTTGTGATTACTATCTGTGACCTACAACTTCCTTTTCTAAAGACAGGGTCTGGCTGTGTCTAGCCTCTAATCCAGAGCAGGGCTCTCACCTTAGCCTCCTGAGAAGGGATTGCAAGAAATGCTCCCATGCCTGGCTAGGCTTGTAACTTTGAGCCTCTGTCCTCCTGAGCCCTGCCTGCCTGCCTACTCTGAGCCACCTTCAAAGGCCTCTTGGACCCCCTTAGGCCCACCTATGTTACCAAGTCACTCCAGTCAACAGTGAAGGCAATTCTTCATTCAGCCCCCACCCAGGCCATGGTGGCCTTGCCAGGCCCACTCTCTTGTCTCCTCCGATCTCCTTGCTGATGGTCTTTCCATATCCCCTCTCTGTAGCCCTGACAACACCCAGCTCTCCCTCTTCTCATTTGTGAACCATGTGACCCAAATCCTCGAAAGTGCAGCCACTCACTCAGTTGTGGTGGTACATGCCTGTAATCTTAGCACTTAGGAGGCTGAATTAGGGAAATTACCATAAGTTCAAGGCCAGCCTGTGCTACATACTGAGGTCCTGTCTCAAACAAACAAGCAATCCTCCCCCACCCGGCCCCAAAAAAACCCTCCAAAGAAATAATGAAATCTCTTGCTTATAGAGAGACTCCCTTAGAATCAGGGCCCACTTCATCTGGCAAGGAGAGGGATCTAGGCTCAGATAACACAAGGGATATCTCCCTGCTCAGAGATGCAGTCAGAACTCTAGTCCAGGTCCATGGGCTCCTTTAGCCACCTCCCCCTCTGCCACATCCCCCTTCCCCTTGGCCCGCCTGTACCCCCACCTCCTCCTCCACTGCCCTCCCCACTCTCTGACCCTCTTTCCTCAGCTTCAGCCTCCCCTTCCCAAGCCCCTCCCTTACCTACCTCACCTACCTCAGGTGTGATCTGGGACAGGTCCCAGCAGCCCGAGGCAGAACAGTCGTCAGTGGTGATGGGGTTCGGATGGGAACTTTGGGAAGCTCGGGTTTCTGTGCACGGACCCAAAGGGCCCAGCTGGAAAGCCCGGCCCCTCGGGGACTCACCTGACCTGCAGGCTCTCCCTCTCCCCTCACACTCTCCCCGCTGGTGGCGTCTCCTCCCCAGCTAGCCCAAGATCACAACCTGTTGCTAGGGCCCATTATAACAGTGAGTGTCAGTTCATTGGTCAGCTGGGCGCCGTGTAATAATGAGGCAGTGACATCAGAGGGCAGGGTCCCAGGGAGCAGAGACTCCAACCCCAGGTGCCCCTAGAGCCGTCATATGGGCTCACTTTTGGCCTTTCTAACAGATTTGTTCAGAGTCCCCTGCTGGCTGAGGATGGAGGTGCATAGAGGGTTTGGCTAACATAGCAAAGCCCTGGGTTACATCCTCAGCACCAATCACACCCAGTGTGGTGGCACTCGGTCAGTAAACCAGCACTCAGTAGTTGGAGGCAGAAGGATCAGAGGTCAAGGCCATCCATGGCCACGTAGCAAGTTCTGAGGCCAGCCTGGGTCTCAGGAAACTGAATCACAAACAAACAAACTAACAAATATAAACATACAAACAAGCCGCCCAAATCAATAAGAGAAACTCTCTGTGTTCTCCATCACCCCCAGGACAAAGTCTTACATGAATAACTTGGACATCTGAGGCCCTGGCCTCGCTCACCACCCTGCAATCGAGGGAACACTTCAGCAGGCTGCTTGCCAGCCTGTCATAGTCACTCGTCTCTCTATGTAGCTCTCAGGTGTCCCATGCGCTCTGGGGCATGAGGGCCAGGGTGGGGGGTGGGGGTTAGCTTGGCTAGCACCAGCTGGGACAGGAGGAAACGGGCAATGGGACAGAAGGACCCGGTTTCCGTGGTGGTTCATGCCTGTGATCCCAGCTCTGGGGCAGTAGATTCCACATTCAAGGACAGCCTCCTCTATATAGTGAACTGGAGGCCGATCTCACAAGCCCAAGGACCCGAGTTCAATCCTCAGAATCCGTGTACAACATGCTGGGTGTGGTGGTGGGCACTGGTGACCCTAGCACTGGAGACACGGAGACAGAAAATCACTGGGGTTCCCTGGCCAGCAAGTCTCACTTAATTAGTGTCCCACAGACCCACGAATGGTCTTTGTCTCAAAGGCGGCAAGTGGATGGCACCCGAGGTTGTGCTCTGGGTTACACAGGCACCATAAAACCAAGCCTGACACCTGGTGCTTGCTGTACCACCTACAGACCATAGCAGCTCTGAATGGAGGACACCAGACAGGGCAATGAGCCCCGCTTCCCTCCTCCCTTCTCTACCTACCCGCCCCTCTGCCACCTGTCAGTCTTTGCTCAGGGCCTGTGTGTCTATCATGCCTTGCTCCATTCTGTCCCTCTGCTTCCTCGTTACCCTGTGAAGCCGCATCCAGGCTACAAAGAGGGAAATGAAAGTAGATATGAGTTGTTGGTGGTAGCCCATGCTTGTGACCCCAGCACTTCAGAGGTGGGGGCAGGAGGGTTGGGCGTTCAAAGGCATCCTCAGCTACTTAGCTGAGTTTGAGGCCAGTCTGGGTCCCATGAGAGCTAAAGAGCAAGTGGAGAGCCCTGAACCAGCAGATGGGCTGGGCAAGGCCCACTTCGGTGGGAGGGGCCTGAGGGGAGTAGAGGGCGCCAGGAAAGGAAAAGTCCAGGTGAAACGGAACAGACATAGACGCCAGGCACAGAGTGAACAGTCTCGGAGCTAGAGGCCTGTGAATCAAGGGAAGATGTGAAAGGTGGCTAGCACCGGCCACGTAGCCAAAGCCAGCCTCGGCTCCAGGGCGAGTTCATGGTCAGGCGGGGCAAACATGAGGTCCTACTTCAAATGAAAAAAATCAATAATTAATTAAAACGAAAATTAAAGAGAGGGGCGGGATATAGCGCAGTGGTAGGGTGCTTGCCCAACATGCGCAAACCCCTAGGTTCAGTTCTCGATACCAAAAAAAAATAGGTGGGGCCAAGACGCCCACAGGTGAAGGTTGAGGCACCCAGTGCAGGGAACCTCAGGATTCCAGCTGCCCTCAGGACCCTGTTGTCAATCTGCAGCTCCTCTCCCCTCCGGCCCATGGACGCCTGTCTGTCTGTCCTCCTCCTAACATCTCCTCAGCCAGGCTCCAAGGGCTTTCCTTCCCCCGTGCAGTTTCTAGGATGTGCCTCAGGCTTCTGCAACTCAAAGATTTGTTCTGGCCATCTGAGGAGCCTGCAGGGGTGAGGACAGAGGTCCCAGAAGGAACACTTTGGCTGGAGCTAGGGCAGGAGTGACTGCTGCCCACGGTGTCCAACATTTCCAAACCTTGGGCAGCAGCTGCGTGCTCTGTGGAATCCTGCTGACTGGCAAGCTGCAGAGACGGAGTCAAAAATAGTCTCAGACGTTCCCCGACACTGAGCAGACTGTGGCATGTCCCCAAGACTCCTTCCTCAAACTCACAGACACGTGTGAGGCCCATGAGGGGAAGGAGGGATTCTAGAAGACCAGCAAACACAGAACCGTCAAACAGATCCGCAGGCACAGCGAGCCATGGGGCTGGAGAGACGGCTCTGCGGCCAAGAGCACTGGTGACTCTTGCAGAGGACTCCCCTTTGGTTCCCAGCATCCTCATGGCAACTTGCTAACGTTTGTATCTCCAGTTCCCGTGGATCTGACACCCACTTCTGACGCAACAAACATCACACAAACACATGGAGCACATACATGGATGCAGGCAAAATACCCACATAAGTTTTTTAAAAATCTTATAAAAATTTAAAAGGTAAACAGGAGTTGGGGACTTATCTCAGTGATAGGC